AGACAATCTAACCACTGCCCCTTCACATTCAGTGTTACCATCACTGAATCCCCCACTATTAACATCCTGGGAGTTATCATTGATCAGAAACTTAACTGAACTCACCACATAAATGCAGTGGCTACAACAGCAGGTCAAAGGCTAGGAATACTGCAGCAAGTAACTCACTTCCTGACTCCCCAAAGCCTGTCCACCATCTACAAGGCACTAGTTAGGAGTGTGTTGGAATACTCCCCACTTGCCTGGATGAGTGCAGCCCCAACAACACACAAGAAGCTTGACACTATCCAGGAGAAAGCAGCCTGCTTGATTGACACTGCATTCACAAGCATTCAGTCCCTTCACCACCAACGCTCAATAGCAGCAGTGTGTACTATATACAAGATGCACTGCCGAAATTCAACAAAGATCCTCAGGCAGCACCTTCTAAACCCACGACCACAAGGGCAGTAAATATATGGGAACACCACCACCTTCAAGTTGCCGTCCAAGCCACTCATTATCCTGACTTGGAAATATATTGCCGTTCCTTCCATGTCGCTGGGTCAAAATCATGGAATTCCCTCCCTAATGGCATTGCGGGTCAACCGACAATGGGTGGACTGCAGCAGTTTAAGAAGGTAGCATAACACCACCTCCTCAAGGGCAACTAGGGATGGGCAATAAATGCTGGCCGGCCAGTGATGCCAACATCCCACAAAATAAATAACTGAAAAATAATTTTCAATCACAGAATCTCACAATTCAGCAAAAAATTGGCTCACATCACCCATTCCAACAACAGTCAGAGACATAGAGATGTAAATCTTGGAAACACCCTTTGGTTCAACTCATCTATGCTGACCAGATATCCTAAATTAATCTACTCCCATTTGCCAGCATATGGACCATATCCCTCTAAATCCTTCCTATTCATGTATCCATCCAAATGCCTTTTAAATGTTATAACTGTACCAGCTTCCAGCACTTCCTTTGACAGCTCATTCCATACATGCACCACTGTCCATGTAAAAAAGTTACTCAGATCCCTTTTAAATCTTTTCCCATCTCACCTTAAACCTATGCCCTCTAGTTTTGGACTCGCCTATCCTGGGGAAATGACCTTGATTATTTACCCTATCCATGCCCCTCATGATTTTATAAACCTTTATAAGGTCACTCCTCAGCTTTCAACGCTCCAGGGAAAATAACCCTAGCCTATTCAGCCTCTCCCGATAGCTCAAACCCTCCAATTCTGGCAACATCCTTATAGATCTTTTCTGAACCCTTTCAAGTTTCACAACTTCCCACCTACAGCAGGGAGACCAGAATTGAATGCAGTAAAGGGTATGCCAAAAGTGACCTAACTACACGATATCCCAACTCCTATATTCAATACACTGACCAATAAAGGCAGGCATACCAAACACCTTCTTCACTATCCTAACTGCGACTCCACTTTCAAGGAACTATAAACCAGTACACCAAGGTGTCTTTGTTCAGCAACACTCCCCTGGACCTTACCATTAAATGTTTAAGTCTGCGCTGATTTGCCTTTCCAAAATGCAGTACCTCACATTTATCTAAATTAAACTCCATCTGCCACTCCTTGGCCCATTGGTCCAGCTGATCAAGATCCCATTGTACTCTTACGTAACCTTCTTCGCTGTCCATTACACCTCCAATTTTGGTGTCAACTGCAAACTTAGTAACCATACCTCGTATGTTTGCATCCAAATTATTTATATAAATGACGGAAAGCAGTGGACCCTGCACAATCTTTGTGGCACACTGGTGGTCACAAGCCTGCAGTCTGAAAAACAACCCTCCACCACCACCCTCTGTCTTTTACCTTCAAGGTCTTATGAAAGGCAGATGAAATACTGGATTTAAAATAGCATGATCCTTCCAATCTTTTGAATTGGTTTCAGTGGACTGTGAAGTATTGCAGTGCAGATTGACTTCCTACTTTGGCTTGGCTGTGGGCTTTTTTTTTCAATATATATATTGCCTTCCTGAATTGCTGGTGGTTTAAGTAGAATCAGATCATGATGACAACAGCCTGGTGCCAGATTTGCTGATATAAATAGTTTTCTTCCCTAGTCCACTAATGACCTTTCCTCTAAAACTAAAAGACTTCAATCATTTCCATTTATGTTAAAACCTGAGCCATGTAGTTTCTGAATAAAAACGGAAAGAGTTGTGGATGCTGTAAACCAGGAACAAAAACAGAAGTTGCTGGAAAAGCTCAGCAGGTCTGGCAGCATCTGTGAAGAAACAAACAGTGTTAATGTTTTGGGTCCAGTGAACCTTCTTCAGAGGGTCCCAACCTCTGATTTTTTTCTTCACAAGATGCTGCCAGACCTGCTGAGCTTTTCCAGCAACTTCTGTTTTCGTCTATGTGGTTTCTAGATGTTTCATTTTGCATTTGTTCAACAGATATGGACATCAAGCATATCTCCCATCTTTAAATGTCTCTGTAGAAGATGGGATGTGAGCTACCTTCTTGAATTGCTGCAGTCTGTGTGGTGTGGGTGCACCAACAGTGATGGTTGGGAGGATATTCCACATTTTTATCCAGCCACAATGAAGGAACAGTGATATAGTTCCAATTCAGGATGGTGATGTGGCTTGGGCGGAAACTTGCACGAGGTGGCTTCTCATGCACCTACTGCCTTTGTTCTTCTAAGTGGTAAAAGTTGCAATTTTGGATTGTGCTGAAGGAGCCGGTGATGCGATGTCAAAGGTGGTGGGATGGGTTGCTGAGAAAGCATTTCAAAAGGAAGAATCACATTGGATTTGAAATGTTCATTCTATTTCTCTCATTACAGAGGATGTCAGACCTGCTAAGTTTCTCCAGCACTTTTTCATTTCAGATCTCCAATATCCACAGTAGTTTGCATTTGTTGTTTTGTCCTGGATGGCGTCCAGCTGCTTCAGTGTTGTTAGCACCACCTCAATCCAGGCAAGTGGAGGATATTCTATCACACTGCTGACTTGCAGATGGTGGAAAGACTAGTTTTCTTAATTTCTCCCAGGAGATTCACCAGAACATTGCCTGGTCTGGTGAGATTCAGCTGTGAGGAGAAATTAAATAGAATAGAATTGTTTTTCTTAGAGCACAGATGGCTGAGGGGGGACATAAATTGAGGGGTACAAAATTATGACTGACGTAGACAGAGTTCACAGGGAGACTAATTTCCCTTCATAGAGATGTCAATAACCAGGGTGCACAGTTTTAAGGTAAGGAGCACAAACTTTACAGGAGATTTAAGGGCTTTTTTTGTTCATCCAGAATGTGGTGGGTATCTGGAACTCACTACCTAAAAGAGTGATATAGGCAGTACCTGTCAAGACATTTAAGAACAGTTTAAATGAACATTTGATGTCACAGCACATAACGCTATAGCACGCAGCTAGAATACTGCAAAAGTTTTGGTCCCTTTACCTAAGGAAACATATGCTAGCATTGGAAGCAGTCCAGAGAATTTTCACTAGGTTGATCCTGAGTACAAGAGGGATTATTCTATGAGAAGTTGAGAAATTGGGCTCATACTCATTGGAGTTAGTTGAGTAACAGATGACCTTATTGAAACATAAAAGATTCTTAGGTGACTTGTCAGGGTGGATGCGAAGAGGCTGTTTTCCCCTTGTGGGAGAGTCTAGGACCAGAGGACATAATCTCAGAGTAAGGGGTTGGCCAGTTAAGACAGAGATGAGGAAGAATTTCTTCTCAGAGGGCAATGAATTTGTAGAATTCTTTAGAGGGCTGTAGATGTTGGATCAAGACCGAGATAGATATATTTTTAATCAGTATGGGAAATGAAGAGAAATGGGGTAAAGGCAGGAAAACAAAGTTGAAAGTTATCAGATGAGCCGTGATCTCACTGACACGACAGCCTGAAGAGCCATACGTCTGCTCCTAGGTCCTATGGTCTAAGGCTGTGGGCCAAATGCCAGGAAATGGAATTTGAGTAGCAGCTAGATGTTCGATTATTGGTGTGGCCACCAGTACTGGTTTGAGGCAGCACGGTGGCTCAGTGGTTAGCACTGCTGCCTTATGGTGCCAGGGACCCAGTTTCGATTCCACCCTCAGGTGACTGTCTGTGTGCATGATCTCCATGTCTCTGCGCAGGGGTTTCCTCTGGGTGCTCTGCTTTCCTTCCACAGGACAAAGATGTGCAGGTTAGAGTGGATTGGCCATGCCAAATTGCCCCATAGTATTCAGAGCTGGGCAGGCAAGGTGGGTTAGCCATGGGAAATGTGGAGTTGAGGGGGTCAACTGGAGGGACCGGGTGGGATGCTCTCCAGAGGATCAGCGTGGACTTGATGGGTTGTATAGCCTGTTTCTCCATTGTAGGGATTCTAATTTATGAACAGCCTCCTTCTGCAATATAAAAAGAATTCCATGATTCTCTACAGATAAGCATGCAATAGGGTATGTGCCATATGTACAAAAAAATGGGATTTGAGTAGATAGATACTTGAAGCCTTTTTTTCACCCTCTAACGATTCCTGGACAGGCATTTAGAATTCCATGCAGCATAATTCTCCAAATTAAAACTTCATTTGCCCCAAGTTTAGTGGACACTGGGACATTGAGTATATTTAAGGTGAACACCGACGGGGTTTCAATCGTTGAAGGTTGAAGGATTATGGGAAAACAGAGCAACCAAACGGGAGTTGAGCCTTGCGATTGAGATCAGCTTCCATGGCATTGAACGGCATAGCAGTTCGCAAGGGGCTGTATGGCCTACTCCTAGTTCTTACATTCTGTGTGTATGTTGACGATGGAAGTGAAGACGGGTGAGAAGCAATTATCCTGCCAGGAGCCGGAGATCGTATTTGGGTGTGTACCGGAGAGGGTAAAGCTATGTCTCGTCGCCTTCTTTGGTTGAGGGAGGAAAATGGCGTCCGCACATCCCAACGGACGACGTACGGAAAATGCTCGAAGAGGGTCACGTGGCAAGGAGGGTGGGCATAAGGCGCGTGACGTTTCAGCGTCAGTTGGCACGTGACCACCACGTTCCCGACCACCACCACATTCCCCACCCCCCGCCCCATCTACCAAATCGCCGCTCAGAAGCGCGGCCGGCTAGTGGGTGGAGGTTTGGCTCTTTCCTGGTTGAGAGAAGTTACTTCACACACTCCCCTCCTTAAAGAACGTTTAAATTGTCGCGACGATGTTTTATCATGTGAGTGGCGCATTTTGACCCGTGTCGCGCGGATCGGGCGGGCAAGACGGTGATAACCGAGCGGTGAGGATGGGGGTGGGGCAGATGACGCGGGGCGCGATGATGAGTGTTGGTGCGCGTCGTCAAGGTGATTGACACCCACCCCGACCTGTAGGCGCAGCGGTGGGCGGAGACCTGCTCGAATGATTGATGGATGTTTCAGCAAATGGTGAAGAGGGGGTGTTGGCGGAAGGCGTGTTTCATTGTCCATTCCCAAAAAGGCAAAGTTTTGCAGCTGATGGAAATCTGAAACAAAAGCAGGGTGGGTTAGCTCAGTTAGCCAGACGACTGGCTTGCCATGCGCAATGATGCCAGCAGTGCAGGTTCAGTTACCATAAAGGATCACAGACACCTTAAGGTGTGAAAGCAGACCCTTCGGCCCATTGAGTGTACACTGACCCTCTGAAGAGCATTTCTTTCCTCTCTCCCTCTCTCTCTCCCCCCCCCCACCCTATCCCTGTAAACCCCTGCATTTTCCATGGCTAACCCACCTATCCTGGACACTATGTGGCAATTTAGCACAGCCAATCTACCCGCACTCGCACATCTTTGGGTGGGAGGAAACTGGAGCACCTGTAGGAAACCCGTGCAGACTCCAAACAGACCATCACCTGAGGCTGGAATCAAACTCGGGTCCCTGGCACTGTGAGGCAGCAGTGCTACCCACTGATACACCATGTCACCCTACTCCTCTTCTTTGTCAACCTCTTGATGGTCCTTGGGTTATACTTACAACCTAATCCTCTCCCTAATGAGAGAGCAGACCTGTGGTCCAGTAAGGTTATGCCAATTTTGAGTTATGAGGGAAGGCTTTTCCCCTTAGAGGGGCCAATAACTGCGGGTGGGGTACAGTGTACTGTAAAGGAATTCCCACCCAAAATGTAGTGGTTCTTCAGAAGTTGCTGCCTAAAAGGAGGTAGAGGGAGAAACCTTCAAGACGTTTAAGAAGTATTTGGATGAGCACTTGAAAAGTCACAGCATACTGGCCACTAGCTGGGAAATGGAATTGGAGGAAGTAGCTGTTTGACTAGTGTGTGTGGGCATAATGGGCCTTTTCTGTGGTGTAAAAACTGTCTCTAAATTTAAGATGCAGTAGACCTGTTCCAGCCAATGAAAACAGACTCCACTTCTGCAACCTATCCACAAAACTGAAGTTTCTCACCCCTGTCACCATCTAGGAATCGAGGAAAGGTTTGGAGGGATGTTTGATTTGACTTATTGTTGCCACACGTACCTAAGTACAGTGAAAAGTTTTACGAGCAGTACAGGACGATCATAGAAAACAAGGACGTACAGATCATGGGGCGCTTAGAGAGACGGAGGTATACAAGATTACGTCTGCACAGGATGTGCACAGAGCGAGATCAGCATTAGATTTGAAATTGGAGAGGTTATGGGTCAAACACAAACAAGTGGGATAGTTTAGTTTGAGAACATGGTTGGCGTGGACTAGTTGTACCAAAAGGTATTTTTCTATGCTGTATGACTCTATCCCATACGTCTTCTAATATCTTCACAATTTCTAAATTGTGGTGCCAGTACTAGATGCAAAGCTGCAGTTGAGGTCGAGCCAGAGGTTTATTCAATTTTAACACAACTTCCCTACTCTTGTACACTGTGCCCCAATTAATAATACCCAAGATACTGTTTGCTTTATCGACCGTGCTGTCTACCTGCCATGTTTAATGCAAATATGTACAATTGACAAGCATTTGATAAGGTCCCCATGGCAGGCTGATCCAGAAGATTAAGCCCTGTGGGATCCACAGTGAGTTGATAAATTGGATACAAAATTAGCTTGGTCAGAGAAGATAAGAGGATAGTTGTGGGGGGAAGTAATTTGCTGACTGGAGGTCTGTGACCAGTGGTATTCCACAAGAATCAGTGCTGAGATGTCTGTATATATATGATTTGGATGCAAATGCAGATGGTCTAATTAGTAAGTTTGCAGATGATGTGAAAATTGGTCGAGTTGTGGATAGTGAGGAAGGTTATCAAAGAATACAGCCAGATATAGATCAGTTGAAAAGTTGCGCAGAGAAGTGGCAGATGGAGTTTCATCCAGGCATGTGTCAGGAGGTCAAATTTAAGGGGAAAATATACAGCAAGTGGCATTGATATAGAGAGGATCTTGGGTGCTAGTCCATTACTCTCTGAAAGTGGCAACACAAGTGGATAAGGTGGTTTTAAAAAAATGCGTATGACATGCTTACCCTCTTTAGTTGGGGCATTGAGTATAAAAGTTAGCAAGGCATGTTGCAACAGTATAACACTTAAGTTAGGCCACATTTGGAGTCGCCACACCAAAGGAAGAATATGGAAGCTTTAGACAGGGTGCAGAAGAGGTTTACCAGGATGTTACCTGGAATGGAGTGTATTAGCTATAAGGAGAAGTTGGACAAACTTGGATTGGTTTCACTAGAGTGTCAGGAGTCTGAAGGTGATCTGATAAAAGTGTATAAAACTGAGAGGTTAGGTAGTTGGAGTCTTTCTTCCAAGCATGGAAATGTCAAATGCTATTGGGGATAGGTTTAAGGTAAGAGGGTCAAAAATTTAAAGGAGATATGAGGGCAAGTTTTTTAGAGTGGTAGATGCCTGGAAGGTGCTGCCAGGGCAGGTGATAGAAACAGATATGATAGCAATGTTTGAATCATTTAGACAGACACCTGAACAGCCAGGGAACTGAGGAATGCAGACCATGTGTAGGCAGATAGGATTAGTTTACAATGGCATCATGGTCGCTGCAGACATGGTGGGCCAGAGGGCTTGTTCTAGTGCTGGACTGTTCTATCTTCTGCTTACAAGTTGGTCTGTTCCTGCACCCTGTTTATAATTTTATTCCACATCTGTTGAATAACTAAAATCTGACCTCTGCCAAGGTGGGGTTTGCCCTTGAATCTGAATTAATTGTCCATGGTCTGGATCATTTGACCAGTGACATAGTGATAAATTTTAAAAAACTGCTGTAGTCATATTGTTTGCAAGATAAATATTGAACATCTCCCCTGGAGATTGTGCCACTCATTTAAGTGTGATTATTTGCATCCACCTAAGAGGTTTAAATAATTCTCAATAAAGGTGATAAATCTGAAACATTAACTCAGTTTCTCTCTCCACAGTTCCTGTTGGATGTGCTGGATATTTCCAACATTTTGTTCTTTTCCATCATAAGAGGGTTTCATGTCCTGAAGGGCAGGCTGCTCCAACAGGACAGCACACCCAGACTTGCCAGCGAACCTAGATTTTGCACTTCCAGGTCTTTAGAGCGCCGACAGGGAGTCAAGGCTGACAACTCCACCTCTGTTACTGAATAGACAAAGTGAGGATATCTTGCTCACTCCTGCCAACTCACACCGGTGTGAGTTTTCTAAGTGATGTGTTGTGGTGGGAAGGACATGGTTGAGAGTGGTGGAGGTTGACAGAATAGGAAGATATTTCAGAAGCACAGGTGGTGATTTTGCAACCATATTCCCATTTCCACCCCACATTTGTTGATGGCTGAGGGGTGACCTTATAGAGGTTTGTAAAATCATGAGGGGCATGGAGAGGTTGAATAGTCAAGGTCTTTTCTCCAGGGTAGGGGAGTCCATATGTTTAAAATCAGAGAGGAAAGATTTAAAAGGGACCTGAGGGGCAACATTTTCACACAGAGGGTGGTGCATGTGTGGAACAAATTGCCAGAGGAAGTGGTAGAGGCGGGTATAATAACAACTTTTAAAAGATATTTGGATGGGTATAAGAATAAGAAAGGTTTAGAGGGATATAGGCCAAACACAGGCAAATGGGATTCGTTCAGTTTAGGAAACCCAGTTGGCATGGACGAGTTGGACTGAAGGATCTGTTTCCATGCTGTATGAATTTATGACTCTAAACCTCTAGAACCATCTTCTATTTCTTCACATGATCCACTCTCATCTCCTCTAGGATTTGGCATCACTGTTTAAAGATAGGCGGTGAAATTCTTTCCTCTTGGGTGGTTGACAGTCTTGGAATTCTCTTTCTCAAAAGGCTGCGATGGTAGAGTCTTTGAATATTTTCAAAGGTGGATAGATTCTTCAGGGTGACAGCTTATGGAGGGACACAGGACTATGGATACAAGGTTGCAGTCAGCTCAGCTATGATCTTATTCAATGCTGAGCAGGCTTAATGGGCTCAAAAGGTCTACTGCACATTGATACCACAAGAACAAAGTGAAGGTAGATCATTTGGCTCATCAAACCTGCTCTGCCATTCAGTACGATCAAGATTCAGCACCCTCTGAGTGTAGAAATGTCTCCTCAACCTCAGTCCGAAGTAATTGGCCCCTCCCGAAGTGACCAGGCAATAACAAACTCGGCTTGTGCCCTGTCTAATGCCCTTCAGAATCTCGTCTGTCTCAAAGCAATCACCTCCCATTCTCCTAAACTTGGAGAATATTGACACAGATTGTTCCCTTATGATAAAATCTCTCTGACCTGCTACCAAATCACAAACCTTCTCCTTCCCTCCCTCTTAAGTGCATTCAAGACTGAAATTGATTAAACTTTTGAGGAACCGGGAAATAATTTGACCATCTGAAATCCCTGTCATTGAGGACAAAAAAAGCAGCATTTTAAAATATCTGCTTTCCTTCCTTATTTTTAGATTTCTCTGGAACATGAGATTCTGCTGCACCCTCGATATTTTGGTCCTAACCTGCTGAACACTGTCAAACAGAAGCTCTTCACTGAGGTCGAGGGAACTTGCACTGGAAAGTGAGTGACGCCATTTTAAAATTCATATGCAATAGAAAAATCTTGAGCCTGGACATTGTGGAGAGCTTGTGGCATCGTGGTGATATCTCTGGATTAGTGACCCAGAGATTCAGCTAATGCCCCGAGGACCAGGGTTTAAATTCCACCACAACAGCTGGTGCATTCAATTAATAAATCTGCAATCAATCTTCCTCCTGCTGGCCATGTCAATTGTTGTAAAAATCCATCCAGTTCACTAATATCCATTAGGGAAGGAAATCTACCTGTCCTTACCCAGTCTGGCCTACATGTGACTCTGGATCCACAGCAATGTGGTTCACTTTTTAACTGTCCCTCTGCAATGGCACAAATTGGGGCAGCACGGTGGCTCAGTGGTTAGCACTGCTGCCTCACCGCGCCAGGGACCCAGGTTCAATTCCATCCTTGGGTGATCTGTGGAGTTTGTATGTTCTTCCCATGTCTGTGTGGCTTTCCTCAGAGTTCTCCAGTTGCCTCCCATGGTCCAAAGATGTGCAGGTTGGGTGAATTGGCCATGCTAAATTGCCCATAGTATCCAGGGATGTGTAGGTTAGGTGGGTAAGCTGTGGTTAATATATGGTTACGGGGATAGTGGGAGGGGGTTGGGGCTCAGTCTGGGTAGGCTAATCTTTTTGGAGGGTTGGTGCAGACCCGATGGGCCAAATGGTCTGCTTCCACACTGTAGGGATTTCTGAATGACACTCAAGGAGACACTCAATCCAAAGGGCAACTAGGGTATTAAAATACCAGCCTTACCAGTGTTGCGCATATCGGGGGCAGATTAGAAAAACAGCTGTGGTCTGCAAACCTGCTGCGTTTTTATGTTCCACTTTGTCATGCGTTTTCTCCATCCTAAGTTGTGATAGCTACAATGATAATGAAAACTGCTTGTCAATTCTTTCTTTTATCTTTCATTCATTCTTATGGTGGTGCCATCACAGGCAAGAGTGATATTTATTGTTCATCCTATTGACCATTTTCCCCAAGTCTCCTATGGCTCTGAGAGCAGTGTCGTCAGCTCTGACTCCACATTCATGGTTCTCGTGTTCCTCTCCAGGGAAGCAAGCACAGTATGCCGGGCTGACTTGCTGGACCGTTAATTCAGAGACCCAAATAATGTTCTGAAGACCCGGGTTTCAGCCCCACCACGGCAGTTGGTGGAATTTGAATTCAACAAATATTGGGAATAAACAATCTAATGATAACCATGAATCCATTGCTGCTTGGAGGAAAAACCCATCTGGTTCACTAATTGTCCTCTTAGAAAAGGAAACAGCCATCCTTACCTGGTCTGGTCTACATGTGACTCCAGACCCACAGCAATGTGGTTGACTCTTCACTGCCTGATGGGCAATAAATGCTGACATTGCCAGCGACACCCTCCTCCTGTGAGGCAAGTAGGATTGTGAAGGTGGTATTTGGTATGCTTTCCTTTATTGGCCAGTGCATTGAGTATAGAAGTTGGAAGGTCTTGTCGCAGCTCTGCAGGACATTGGTTAGGCCACTTTGGAATACTGTGTGCAATTCTGGTCTCCCTGCTACAGGAAGGATGTTGTGAAACTTGAAAAGATTCAGAAAAGATTTACAAGGATGTTCCCAGGGTTGGAGGGTTTATGCTATCGGGAGAGGCTGAATATGGTGCTGCTGTTTTCCCTGGAGTGTCAGAGGCTGAGGAATGACCTTCAAGATTGACCATGAGGGTCATGGATAGGGTAAATAGAGAAGGTCTTTTCCCCACCCTGGGGAAGTCCAAAACTAGAAGGCATACATTTAAGGTGAGCAGGGAAAGATCTAAAAGGGACCTCAGGGGCAACTTTTTCACACAGACAGTGGTGTATGTTTGGAATAAGCTGTAAGGAGAAGTGGTGGAGGCTGGTACAATACAACATTTAAAAGGCATCTGGATGGGTATGTGAATAGGAAGAGTTGAGACAGATATAGGGCAAATGCTGGCAAATGGGACTAAATTAATTTAGGATATCTGATTGACATGGAACAATTGGACTGAAGCACAGTTTCCATGCTGTACAATTCTATGACTCTAGGTGTTGGCCTGGGGAGTGGGGGTTGGCCTGAGGTTGGGTCTTTTTATCTCTTCCTGGTGTCCTAGAGCCCAACATTTACCCCTCAATCAGTGTCACAAAAACAGATGAGCTGGGTCATCCCATTGCTGGTTGTGGGATCATGCCATACATGTATTGGCTACCTCGTTTCCCACATTAACAACAGTCCATACCCTTCAAAAGTACTTCATTGGCTGTAAACAACTTTGCATTTCAGGTGGTGAAGGGTGCTGCCCCCATGTTGCTTGGTATGTGCTGACAGGGTTGCATCTTTGGATGCCCATCCTGGAATGCCTCGAGTCCTGCAGCCATGTGACAAAAAAAACCTTATATTGGTACGGAACCTAAAACTCGCTGAAATGAGACAGGCTGAAGCTTTTGTCTTGTACTCATCAGGACTAGGGCACAAGACAAATTTAGAAAGAGAATTCAAGTCAGCACCCTCTTCTCATGCTGTATGTATTGGTGTTCCCTGGAACACAGGGGCCTGATGCATTAGTCTGGTTCCTTTTAATAAGCAGCAATGTTATTGACTTATTGTGACAATAGGCAAAGATATAAGGCAGATTCACACCGTTTGGAAAGATAAATATTTACTCCTCCAAATATTCCCAAAACAAGAACACACCAATCAAAAGAAATATAAATGTCTCTGACTGCAGAGATTAATTTTGAAAAAATCGAGATGTTTTTGTCCAAGTAATGTTAGTTCCTAGAATCCCTACAGTGTGGAAGCAGGCCATTCGGCCCATTGAGTCCACACCGACCCTCCAAAGAGCATACCAGTCAGACCCACCCCCTACCCTATCTGTGCATTTCCCACCCTAGACACTATGGGCAATTTAGCATGGCCAATCCAACTAACCTGCATGTCTTTGGACTGTGTGAGGAAACCGAAGTACCTGGAGGAAACCCATGTAGATGCAGGAAAAACGGCAACCTCCACACCTGAGGCTGGAATCGAACCTGAGTCCCCAGCGCTATGAGGCAGCAGTGCTAACCACTGAGCCACGTGCCAAGTCTTGAAGGAAAAAGAATAAGGCATGAAATGTTTGAGACTGCTTTCAGTCAGTGTCCTGGTGCACACAGGTGGCTGTCACTAAACACAGATGGTTGTCACTGGGGCTTTCAAATGTAGTTTGTTCGAGAAAGTTCACAGGGAATCCTCAAATCTCCTCCAGCAGGTTTTCAGGAGAACAGCCACAAGTTTTTGGGTCTCCCACTGGACTGTCCCTCTTAAAAAGGCTTTTTCTCAGGCAGAGGATGAGTTGGTCAGCTTCTCTCTCTAACTCTCGAAATGCACTTGGCACTTTGTCCGCTGCTTCAAATATTTGTATGTGACCATATTGCCCATATTTAGGGGAAAGGACGAGGGAGTGGCAAGCTCCCGGTACAATGGGCCGAATGGCTGTACCCTTGCGCTGTGTGATCCAGTGGATTTGAATCATTAAGGCCAACCTGAGCTGTCACTGTGATCCTGTGATGACACTGCGCTTCAGTGAGACTGTAACCTGCTTTCATCTGCTCTGTTGCTTATTTACCTTTCAGTTGTTTTTTTTTCTTTGCAGGTATGGTTTTGTCATTGCCGTCACCACTATAGACAACATTGGTGCTGGTGTAATTCAGCCAGGCCGTGGATTTGTGCTCTATCCTGTCAAGTACAAGGCCATAGTCTTCCGGCCATTTAAAGGGGAGGTGGTTGATGCTGTGGTCACTCAGGTCAACAAGGTATGATCTCTGGATATTTAGTGAAGTACTTTAGTTATTAGTATTTGCTCTGGGATTTTTTTTTCCTCTTGGGTCGAGTAGGGTGGGGGTCTCAGAAGGAAGAAGCCTTTGGCCTTCTTAGTCTGACTGCCACGAGGAGGGCTCGAAGAACAAGCTTCCCATGTCCTCACCTTCACATGCAGCCATTGTTTGTTTCATCCAAAGAGTAGGGGTGGTGTATCAACTGAGATGAATGATTCTGCCCCTCAATCAGAATGCTCTGACAGTCAGTGTTACAAATACGCGTCCCTTTAACGGTATAGTAGAAGGATATTTTCTATTTAATGTGTTTAGAGGTTATTACATACCTCTGGGATAGGTGGGTCTTGAATCTGGGCCTCTAGCCTCTGAGGTGGGGACATTACCATTGCACCACAAGAACCCAAGGGTAAAGCAGCTCCAGAGTTGACTGAGAGAAGATGGTACTCGTGGAATTCCTTTTTATTGGTTAATTTTGGAGGGTGAGAGAGGAGAAGTGGTGCTGGAATGCTATTACTATCACTAGACTGGTAATCTACATGCTCAGTCTAATGCGTCGGGCACAGGGTTTCAAATCCTACCATGGCAGAGGGTGCAATTTGAATTCAATAAAAGTGTTAGTTTGGTGGCTTCTTAAAATAGTTTTTTTTTAGAAAGCTGGGTCTTCTCCTGGACAGGGAAAGGTGGCAACTGGTGTTTATGCTAAACTGAAGATTTACAATGAAACCCTTAAGTCCTTGAAAATGTTTTGCTGCCTACTACAACATATGGTTATCAGTCTGTTACACTCTGGAGAGTGCTCAACAGTAGGCAACAGCTGACAATCTAATGGGGGCAGCATGGTGGCTTAGTGGTTAGCACTGCAGCCTCACAGCGCCAGGGACTGGGGTTTGATTCCACCCTCGGGCGACTGTCTGTGCGGAGTTTGCACATTCACCCCGTGTCTGCGTGGGTTTCCTCCGGGTGCTCCATTTTCCTCCCACAGTCCAAAGATGTGCAGGCTAGGTGGATTGGCCATGCTAAATTGCCCATAGTGTTCAGGGGTGTATGGGTTATAGGGGGATGAGTCTGGGTGGGATGCTCCAAGGGTCAGTGTGGACTTGTTGGGCCGAAGGGCCTGTTTCCACACTGTAGGGATTCTATGATGATAATGTAATCCTGAGAAACTACTACACTGATGGAGGTCCTGTTCTATGAAACAAGCCATCTCCTGTTCTTGGGACGTGCTGAGGATATAATCAGATGTTGCAAAGATGGCTTCACTCCTCTTTAATGCATAATTAAGGGAAGGCAGTGTTACTGTGATAACGACACAGGACTAATAATCCCAGGCAAATATTCTGGGGAACGTAGTTCAAATACCAACCTGGCACATGTAAAACCTGAACTTGTTTTTGAAAAGGAAACTGGAATAAACGTTGGCAAAATCTGACTATATAACTGCTGTGATTGACGTAACAACCAAGGAAAATCTGCTATCTTTACTTGGTCTGGTTTACGTGTGATTCCAGATGTACGCAATATGTTGACTCTTAACTGCTGTCTGGACAATGTGAGACGCGCGATAAATGCTGATCCAGCCAGCAGTGTATATCCCATAAATGTAATAAATAATACTTCACTGTAATCACTTGGTCAGTGCTGGCAGAACCTTTCACTGATTTTAGCTGTGAAAATTGTCATACCAGGGTGTCTGACTACTGTGTAACTGTACAGTGTTTATTCAGCAAGGTATGGGTTGCTTGCTCTGTTCCTGTTTGATTGTAGGTTTTTCTTGTGCCACAGGTTGGACTTTTCACAGAAATTGGGCCCATGTCCTGCTTCATCTCGAGACATGTAAGTTCGAAAAAATACCTCCACTTAGCTGGTGAAGGTGCTAAAGTTGCTACTGTAATCCAAAGAAGATGGATTCAGATCTCTTTAGCAGTTTGAGAATTTCAATTCACTTCGGGTAACAGTGACTGTTGAGTCTGTCATTAATCTTTCACCGTGTCCTCTTGCCTTCCAGTCAATTCCATCGGAAATGGAGTTTGATCCCAATTCCAACCCTCCCTGCTACAAGACCAGTGATGAGGTGTGTATAAGACACTTGTTAGACCACAGCTGGTGTATTGTGTACAGTTTTGGGCACTACGTTTTATGAAGGATGTGAATGCATTGGAGAGAGTGGTATGCTAATGTCACTGGTAATCCAGAGGCATGGGTTAATATGCTGGTGCCACTGGTTCAAGTCCTACCAACGCATTGGTGAAATTTAAATTAAAATTATTAATTTGAAAGGTAGGCTCAAAAATGGTGACCTTTTTAAGCCATTGTCAAATATCATTAAAAAATCCACTGGTTCAGTGATGTCCTTTTTGTGGAAGGAAATTTGCTGTCCTTATCCAATCTGACCTACTTGTGACTGCAGACTCACAGCAATGTGATTGACTCTGACTCTTAACTGCCTTCTGGAATGGCTGAGCATTCCAGTCAGACCAAGGACAGTTAGGGATGGGCAACAACCAGCAACTTAAAACTATTAAAAGATCAGGAGAACAGCAGCAAAAACCAAAGGAAACTTAACAACTTTTATGTTGAAATACCATTTTGGAGGAATGTGATACACTGCAGCCTCTGTGGCATCCACCAATTAGCCTTGATGATCAGTGTTGTTTATTTCAAACAAAAAACCAAAGCCTAATGAAATCCAATTCTAAATAAAAATATCAAAGGGAACTGTAACAAAATTCAAATGTTCAAAATGAATTAAAATGTGTTTATGGTGATGACAATGCAATCCAACTCCAGTGGTGCCTACCAGCTGTGGAAGGCCTCAAGTGTGCCAGTGGACTATTACTTGCTATTACTTGTCAATAGCCACTTAAACAGGCACTGTGCCACTCTCAGTATCTCCATGACCAGCTCCATTTCCCAAGATATCTGCACTCCTAATTCTGGCGTCTAGTGCATTCCCAATCCTAATTGCCCCACTTAGTGCACTGTGGACAGCTCAGACTTAAAAAGCAACTGTTCCCAATCCCCAAAGAATCAAGAGGCCTGCAGCCCTGCCTCCCTAAACCTCTCCATTTCTCTACTTGCTTTGTCCCTTTTTAAGAACTCCTCAAAACTTAACTCTTTGTCCAAACTCAAAGTCATCTCGTCTAATATTTTGGCTTGGTGTCGTGGTTTGCTGGATAATGTTCTTGTGATGTGTCTTAGATCACTTCAGTTTTGAAGTTGCCATGTAAACATAACATAGTAAAAGCTGCACAGCTCCTCTCATGACTGAAATTTACTAAGCAGAACCTCCTAACTCTGCGTGGCTTCACTTCCAGGACATTGTTATCCAACAAGATGATGAGATTCGACTGAAGGTAGTAGGAACTAGAGTCGATAAGAACGACATAGTAAGTACATGTCCAATATTCCACAGATCGGTTTATAATGGCTGTCTGGATATCAGGTGATCTGAGTGATTTTCTTAAACATTTTGCTCTGTTGATACCTCTGTCATTAATGTACTGGAACTGTTGCAACTCACTGGGGTAGGATGCTAGAAATCGACTCCTGCTGTTCCTGGAGTTGTCACAGAAGTTAAAGATGGTGGTATAATGGTGAGCACAGCTGCCTTCCAAGCAGTTGACCCGGGTTCGATTCCCGGCCAATGCAGAACTGTGCTTGAAGTTTGCACGTTCTCCCCGTGCCTGCATGGGTTTCCTCCCACAGTCCAAAGATGTGCAGACTAGGTGGATTGGACATGCTAAATTGCCCACAGCATTCAGGGATGTGTAGATTAGGTGGGTTATAGGGGGATGGGTCTGGGTGGGATGTCTGAGGGTCCATGTGGACTTGGTGGGCCAAAGGGCCTGTTGCCACACTGTAGGGATTCTATGATAAAGTTCCTCAATTTACCTGATTGTTCAGACCAGGTTGATAGAAAGCATGAACCATGTTTCTGTACGCAACAAGAATTACTATTCACTACAAGTATTTAGCCTCTTCCTTCAGGTAAACAGTCATAAACTGTCAATATACAATACTATGAGTTAAAACTCTGAACCCCTCAAACCTCCCCCACTGTCCTCCCCCTCACGCAAGCCAACACACACAAACCAGCAGAAGAAAACGGTTGGAGAAACAGTTCAGCAATCTTTGTTCCCAGGTTCTGTTGTTAAGATAATCCTAATGATTCTTCTGCTGGCCACCACATTGATTCAGTCGTTTTTCTCTGGGTGCTTTTACTGATTGACAAGACACACTGGCTGGTTCACTTGTAAAAGATCTCTGACTAAGAAATTAAAAATCATAGCTTACAACCCTGACTAATTTTGACTGCAGAGAATAGAGACAGACAATTCCTGAGCTGGGGAAGAACTGAGCACTATCCCGCTCTGCCTGTCTATCAGTAACTTGTTTCCAGCTCCAAGCTATTCAGTTACCTGAGAACCAATTGTGTAGTTGTTGACTGGCAAAAGGTCTCTGTTGTTGGTCACTGGTCACCAATGTGTGACCAATTAACTTGTTGCCAACAAGAGCTGCATTGGTACACCCCCTCAGTCCCAATCATCATCAACTCAAACTTCAATTTCTCCTTGTTAGAAGAGTTGGTTACACGATGCTTGGCATGGGTAGTTGCAGTGCAACAGCCTTCCCCACGTTTAAAGACTCCGAGCGCAGTTTCTTTCTATGTCTGTGCGCAGCAGCAACTTCCACAGAGAAAGCCATCCATCAGCACATCAATCTACACGTGTGGAGCTTCCCTGCAGCTTAGGAGGGACGTTAGTGAGGAAGCGCCAGCCCTCATTCTGAGAGGCTAACCCGCACACAGGGTGCCAGCTCCAGCTGTGCTTCCTCCACATGTGGCTGAAGGTTCCACTATGTTTTGAAGAATGTTGCAGGAACCAGCTGCTTGTATTTTGTTTTTCCATTGGGGGTTATTTGTTGCTCTGATAACAGGTATTCTTCATTTTCCTTCCAGTTTGCTATTGGCTCTCTGATGGATGACTACTTAGGTAAGTGTTGGTTTCTGTTGCTAAGTCTACAGCTGTGACTATGATCAGGTGATCTGAGTGATTTTCTTAAACATTTTGCCCTGTTGATACCTCTGTCATTAATGTACTGGAACTGTTGCGACTCACTGGGGTGGGGTGCTAGAAATCGATTCCTGCTATTCCTGGAGTTGTCACAGATGTTAAAGATGGTGGTGTACCAGATTGGGTTGCAGGGAGTAACAGCTGAGGCCCCAACCATGACAGTAGGCAGACACATCCCGGTTTCCCATCTCCTAGATGGGAGAGAAGGACGGGTCAGAAAGGAGGCTTGACATGCGATGGGCATGGGCAAATGGTGGGGATTGGGGGTTGCGGTCAGGGGTTGGGGTACAGCCAGGGGTTGGGGGTCTGCCAGCTGTGCTCTGAGGCAAATATCCTTCAAGTTTCAAAACGCAAACAAGTCAGGGAAAGCTGACTCAATTTCCTAGCATTATGTTAGCCAGCATTGAATCTTTGCTGAGTGGTGATTGGTGCGAGTGTGCTGGGGGGTGGGATATCCTGTTTACCTGACTGTGAAATTCTTTTGGAGGGAAGGAAGGGCTGGATCTGATTGTTTGATGTTGCACATCGTGGCCTTTTTTGATTAAACATTGTTCTTTCTTCCCACACCAGGGTTGGTGAGCTAAAGTTGATGTTGGGCCTCCGAAGGTGAAACGGGCACCACCCAGAGACGATCCCATTTCTTCCCCAATGCGTCATCCCTGTTTGAGCATTCGCTCGCTGGGGGGGCCCCTACCTGTGGTTGCATTACAATTATCACACCGAAGCTCCTGGTTCAAGCTGGGTCTGAGACGACGGCCTCATTTGACAACTTGGAGATACGCTTTCATCAGGGAGTACCTCCCTCTCTGTGCAAAAATCTACCCTAAACTGAATTCGACGTGGCGCTCCCGCTCTCTCCTTCTGACATTGGGCACGCCTTTGTGTTGTCTCTTTACACACGCAACCCCTCAGCTTCTACTTGCTGCCTTTCAATAGTGACTCAGTAAAACTACAAGAATGGCCCCTAGACCAGTATGATCAGTAAGTGATTGATACCTGTTATAATGACTCATTCTGTACCCAGGCAACCTGGAACACAAACCGTAAGTACTGAATCTGCCTCCTGCTTTGGGCCACACCAGTGGGCTGCAAGTACGTTCAAACTAGCTCCCCTTCCAGTACCCGAAATGACAAGATATGACCATTGCCATTTGTACTGGAGAATTTGTCAGGTTTGGGGGGTGTGGGTGACTGATTTTTTTTTTTTTTTAAACCATTGCACCAGTCACCTTCCACACTTCATCTTCTGCTGATCAGTTTGTCTGGGACTTAGGCTGTGATCTGCGTGCTTTTGAGGTCTGACACTGTGCTGGTGAATACAAATGGAGATTTGAGATTCACGTGTCTTTTTAAAGCATTCCTTATTCTTTTGAATAAAAGAAGTGGTAGGTTATTCTAATAAAGAAAGTGTGATTGCACTGGAAAATTGGTGTAATGTTTCTTTTGGACAAAATTTGAGTACTAAAGTTTGCAGATTCATCATCTTTGTGTAATTTACATATGGACTGGGAGTAAGCCACTCAGACTCTCTCTACCATTCAATATAAATCACTCCACATGCCCTCCTGTCCTCTAAACTTTCAACTCCTTGTTCAATTCCATAGAATCCCTACAGTGTGAAAACAGGCCCTTCGGCCCAACAAGTCCATACCGAACCTCGGAATATCCCACCTAGACCCATCCCCCTGTAACCCACCCAATCTGCACATCCCCAAACCTATGGGGCAATTTAGCATGGCCAATCCACCTAAAGCTGCACATCTTTGGACTGTGGGAGGAAACCGGAGCACCCAGAGAGAGCCCAAGCAGACACGGGGAGAATGTGCAAACTGCACACGGTCAGTTGCCCGAGGGTGGAATCGAACCCGGGTCGCTAGTGCTGAGAGGCAGCAGCGCTAACCACTGAGCCACCATGCTGCCCGCTTGCTTATTAAGAATCTACTTCTGCCTTAAAATGTTCAAAGTCTCTGTTTCCACTACCTTTTTGAGGAAGTGTGTGCCAAAGACTCATGACCCTCAGGGTGGAAAAATAAATTCCTAATCTCAGCCTTAAATGGGAAACACCTTCCTCCTAAACAGTGACTCCCAGTTCTAGATTCTCCTGCAAAAGGAAACATCCTCTTCACATCTACCCAGTCAAGGTCACTAAGAATCTTGTGTGTTTCAATCAGGTTGCCTCATAATTCCAGTAGGTACAAGCTGAGCCTGTCTAACCTTCCGTTATATAACAACCCACCAATTCCAGCTCTGTCTAAGAAACCTCTGAACTGCTTTCAATGCATTTATATTCTTCCTTAAATGAATAAGGAGAGCAACACTGTACACAGTACTCCTGATGTGGTCTCAGCAATGCCTTGTGTAACTGAGACTTAACTACCCTACCAGGCCGTTATGCACCTGGACAGAAAGCACCACCTTTCTGTGGTGCATCTGTAAAAGTTGGTGAGTGTCTTTATGGACATGCCGAATTTTCCAAGCTGCCTGAGGAAGAAGGGGCGTTGTTGTGACTTCTTCACTATCGATCTGCATGGGAGGTCCAGGACGTTGTCAGTTATTGTCATTCCTGGGAAGTTGACAACGTTCAATCCTTTTCATCTCCGCTCTGTTTATGTAGATAGGGCATGTCTTCCTCCTTTCTTCCTGAAGTCAATGATCAGTTGTTCTGTTTTGCCTGACATTGAGAGAGGTTGTTTTCATTGTACCACATCACCAAGCCTTCAATCACCTTCCTGTATTCTGACTCATCATTGTTTGATATCAGTCCTATCACATTGGTGTCAGTGATGGGACAGGACTGGTGGGGGCAGGTCTGTCATTGTATAATATTGGTGTACAGTACTGGGTTGGAGAGGTCTGTCACTATAACGTTAGGGGACGGTACTGGTAAGGACTACCCCTTCCCATTATTCACAACAGCATGATCAGGTCCCTCTTGTCCTCACTTTTCATCCCACCAGCCTTTCCATCCAAAGGATCATTCTCTGCCATTTCAGACAACTCCGGCAGAATGCCACCACCAAACACATCTTGCCCCTCACTTTCCCCCGACTGCATTTCGCATGGGTCCTTCCCTCTGGGACACCCTAGCCTATTACTCTACCACCAACACTACCACCCCTTCCTGTGGCACTTCTCATGTAACCGCAGAAGGTGCAACACCTGCCCCTTCGCCTCATCCCTGCTCACCATCCAAGGGTCTAAACTGTCTTCTCAGGTGAAGCAGCATTTCACCTGTACCTCCTCCAATTTGGTCTCTTGCATTCACTGCAACTAATATGGCCTACTCTACGTTGGAGAAACCAGACTGGATTACTGTTTTGCAAAACACCTCTGCAAGCACAACCTCAAGCATAACCGCGAACTTCCTGTGGCTGGTCATTTTAACACCACATCCTGCTTGTATGCCCACTTGTCTGTCCTCAGCATGCTGCAATGCGGCAGCGAATCACAGTGAAAACTGGAGGAGCAACTTCTCATCTTCAAACTAGGCACTTTACAACCTTCTGAACTTAATATTGAGTTCAGATTATGAATCCACTCCCATTCCTTCCCCTTTCTTTTAGCTGTACATGTTACATTCTCTGTCACTATGTCCTCGCTCCCCTCCAGTCATTCCAGTCTGGCAGTTAAACACACCATTGTCCTGCCATTCTCACATTCCAATCACTTAATCTCAATTATCGACACCCTTTCTCCCCCAGCACAATTGCATAAATGCACACTTCACATCACCTGTAATAAAAAGTCATCTAGACTCGAAACATAAGGTTGCTCTCTCTCTCTCTGTATATGCTGCCTTACCTGCTGTGATTTCCACCAGTTTTTGTTTTCAGTACTGGTAAGGACACGTCTGCCACTGTTTAATATGGGGTACATTACTGGTGGGGACAGACGTGTTGCTGTACATCACTGGGCTTAAGTACTGGTGGGGACAGGACTCACTGTAAAACACTGGGGTACAATACTAGTGGGGACAGATCTGTTACTGAATAACATTGGGTTTCATCCTTGTGGGGACAAATCTTGTCACTATATATTCAGTTTCAGTCCTTGTGGGGACGGGTCGGTCATTGTATAATACAGGTGCTGTACTGTGGGACAGACTTGTCACTGCACAACATGGACTGTACTGATGGGGACAGGTCAACACTTGAGTTCATTACTGGTGGGGTCAGATCTGTCCCTGTATATCATGGGTGCAGGGCTAGTGGGTTCAGATCTGTCTGTATAATAACGGGGTACGGTACTGGTGGGGACAGGTCTGTCACTATAACACCGGGTACAATTCTGGTGGGGCAGGTTTGTCGCTGTATAACACTGGGATACAGTTCTGGTGATGATAGACCTGATCCTTTATAATCACTGATGGACAGTACTGGTGGGGACAGGTCTTTCCCTGTATGTCACTGGTGGATTGTACTGGTAGAGACAGGTCTGTCCCTGTATACCACTGATGGACGGTACTGGTTGGGAC